CCAAATATTAAACCCAAATAGATTTGCAGACATTTTGCCAGGCAGATGCTAAATTTTGTCACAGAGAAGAGGCTGATAAGACACATACAATTGCAACTCTGTGGTTCTCTGAAGAAAGTGGCACATATTTGCATTTTTATAAACTCTTATCATTAAATGTTTTGGGTGAGTTTTCAACCAGCTCACCAGATGCTGACTGTCCTCAGCAGGGTCTTTACTGCACCAGCTGTGCATCTTTATGCACAGATCATTTCCATATCCTCTGTTGAGTATTTTTGGCCACTCCTAGTGCAAAGTTTTGCTAAGTATTGCTAAGCTGTTGCTTGAAAAATGCATTTTTATGATTAGAAAACTTTGTAGCTGCAAGAGCAAAAGATTTGATTTCTGAGGATTAATTAACCTTTATGTTAACAACTTTTTCATCTATTAGCTTTTTGATTTTTAATTCTACATGCACAACCAGCAGGAAAAAGCAAACAAGATGCACTCACTGAGCAATCAAATATGACATTAAAATAGTTTGGCTCTGTCTCCATATCCTAAGCAAGACTATTTTTATTTAAAAATATTGGGTTTTGTCACATAATTTTATAGCATGATAGCTCCTATTTAAAGGAGCTTGCTATGAAGGACAACTCATCGTAATCCATCCATAAATCAAACAAACTTGGATGAGTCTGGTTGAGCTGTTAACCTTGACTCTCTCTTTTTAGGTCTAATCATACTCTGCACAAGAAAACCAAATCTGGCTCATCTCATAGTGTCACCTTTCATCAGTTTGGAGTGAAAAATGAACTTTCTGCCAAGTAGAGAGTTCAGCCAGCTATTTCTAACACTGCTGTTAAGACCTTTCTTGTTGAACACTTGAGGCACAACCCCAGTGTGAAAAGACCCTGGCAAATTCAGGAGTGAGAACTTGTCCCTTTGTCCATTGATTTCCAACAGCCTGAGGAGCACTAATGAGCACAAGTACGTGCTGTTCACATTCTCCATTTATGTATGGAAAACCAGAGACTCAGAGAAGTTCAGCCCATGCCTCCTCCAAACTGAAAGCAACAATTCTTAGTGCAAATGAGTCTCTGCTAAGTTCAGGCATGTCCAGCGTAGAGTCAACGTGTCAGCTCCTTGCCAAGGCTCTATTTAGTAGAAACACGCCCCAGATTTATCAGTTTAGGCCAGGAGTTGGTTTTGTTCCCTACAAAAGGCATCAGTGTGATGGCAGTTTTCCTGATCACCATCATGCCTTTGTCTTCCCTCCTCTGCACCAGCCTGGAGGCACCAGAGATAAATGGAGATGTCATCCCACACCTTTCCAGGGCCAAAGTTGGGTACATCTCTCTCTGAAAGATGAACTCATGTCCTTGAAGAGATTTGCTTTAAAAAAAAAAAATAAAAATAAATTGGGCTGACCCTAAGCTTGGAGCTGATATGTGTAACTCCAGAGAGAGCGAACATCCAGCTGATCTGTAAGGCTGTAATTTAGGAAGGGCCTTCATCCCCACAGAGCCAGCTTGTGTTGCAGAGCGGTTTGTGCTCATGATATGGGCTCTGATATTGGGATGCAATTGCTTTTCTAATATCCATGTATTATTTACACTATGCTACTGTTGCACACTCCTTCTGACTCCAGATCTGTTGTTGCTGTGATGTATTTATTGGAGCAATGCAAGGTCAGGCTAACCTCCACTATTTGTCTGTAAATGACCCAGGAGAAACCAATAGTTTTAGTGCTGGAACACCAATGTAAGTGAGACACAAATCAGGACCTTGAAGTATTAATTTACTTTATTGCCATATCTTTATAGACAGTTATTAAGCACTTAACTATTAAATATTAATGTTGCTGTTTTATTTATCACACAGAGATATATCTTAAGTGTTTCTTGGGTATTTTTTTCAGGAGAAGGGCTTTAAGAAAAAACAGATCAAGACAAGCGCATCAAAGATGATCAGATCAACACTGAGTGGGACAACATTAGTCTTCAAATTCTAACTAGAGTTGGTTAATATCTTTGCAAACTACAGTCCAGAAATCAAAATATATATAAAAAAGACCCTGCAGAAAATATTTCAGATTATTCTGATTTTTTTCAACATGAAATCAACATGAAATTACAGACTAGAATGGACTGAGGGGAGTGTGAAGGCTTTGTTGGCTTAAAATCTAGCTCAAAATATCAATGTAGTCAGCTCTGCCATGCAAAGAACAGCCCAGGAAAATGTCATGCAGGGACAATCCCAGACATAGCTCTTAAGTTGCCCTGTTCATATTTGAGGGGGTAATGTTCCTGCTCACCACCTACTCATTTCTTTCCTTGCTCTGAACATGCTGTCCCTGCCTTTACCTTCAAGGACACATCCTTAACTGTTCCACATCACCACCTATGCTAACTGTAGAGCCCTAAGGCACCCAGGGGCAATTGCCTCTCTCACCATCTGATTGTCTGATTATGGCTTGCTGATCCTCCTGTGGGATCAAAGCTGCTCCAAACGCCCCAGGTTCTGTCTGTGTGAGACAGTTTGGGATGCCAGAACCCTCTCACAGTACTTGTGTGCCCATCAGTGTGGTGTGGGCCACCTCTCCTGGCTGTGCAGGATGGCTCCTTGTGGTCATTCCCTCACAACCATGCAGACAGTCTGCCTCTAACAGCAAAATATCTCAGAAATTGTCCCCAAGCCACTCAGCTGAGCTGGGTTTTGCGTTAATGAGGCACAGTTGCTCTGCTCTTTGCTGAATTCCACAGTTCAAGTTGAAAACGGCCTCACTCCTTCTGTGATGGAACATCCTCTTCATCCCACCAATACCTCTGCCTGGTTTGACTAAGGGTAGTCCATGTGTTTTTATGCTTTTCTGTCTTTTTGAGGAGTTTTCTCTGGTGTTAAATATATATCCAGGAGATGTAACTGCTGCCAGATCAAAGGCACACCAAATAAACCACATGAAAAATTATCAAAATTTCACAAGCACAAATTTTATTATTTAATATGGATGTTAATGCAGTGCCTGAGTGGCAGTTTTTCCTTTTGTTATCATAATCAATGAGACTGATATGAAAAACACCTAAAAAAGCAAAACCCAACCCAATTCAATGGACAGCTGCCAGATAGGAAATCCAGGATGAGAAGGATGAGGTGGGCAAGCTGGCACTGGTCTCATATGCTTGGAGCTGCTCCATATGCTTGGAGCATATTTGCATCTAAAGGAATGAAAAGACCTTTTCCTTCATATTGATTATTCCTATTTTTTTTTTTTAATTAAGTCAACATCTTTCACACATGCTGGATTTCCATTTGATAAGCTGGCTCATTTATTCACCTTTCAGCAAACCTCCTTGACTCTTTTCCCCTGCCCAACACTTGAATCAGCCCACACCTTTTTCATCTGATTAAGTAATTTTCCATTTCAGAGTTTATTCCATAAGAGATTTGCAAATATATGAGAGCTGGTACATTTTCATTCCTTGAAAAAGTACTCAGTAATCAGAGAAAGAATTTGTGTTAGTTCTCTCAGTTAACAAAATCCCTGTTGCAATATAGCTTGTTATTTATTAGCTCCAAAGTCTGACTCGGACTGACTCTTTCAGTATGTCTCTTTCATCACCTCCTTAAAATACTATTTATGTTGGAAATAATAAGCTTTGAACTTCTGACACAACAAGTCTCCAATCCTTTGTTCCCTTAGCTCCCTGAAGCAGTTGAATTCACTAACTAGCTCCATTATTTCAAGGTTTGTCCTTTTGAATGTACAAAAGCCAATAAAGCAAAGACTACTTCAGTATGTGCTCACCTAAACACAGGCACAGAGAACTGGGGCAGGTAAACTGAAATGGTGTCTAAATTCAGTTATTTCTCTGAGGGATGGTGTGCTGCAGGGTGAACACCTGTAACTGGTCCTTGTTGCCTTGTGGGCTGGCAGTGCCACCTCAGCTAAGGTTTGAGCACCTTGAGACCCCACCTAACATCCCCTGTGACAGGGTTGATAAGTTTAATGCCTTCAAAATCCAATATTAAACCTTAAAGGTTGCTCTTTCAGAGAGACCAAGTGATATATCCTTTTCTTTGTAGCCAGATCTTCACAAGAGCGGCTCTGTAAATATGCATGTCTTAATTGCAGTGAAAACTATTTGTTTTACAATAGGAAGTGCAGCTGGTGAGTTGTGACCTGAGGAAGAGCAGCAGATGGTGTCCTCAACGCCGGGTTTCTTCATCAATTTTTCCTAAGAATTCCTGCACTGACCTGATTTTCTTCCTAATACAAAGCAGCAGTGACCTGTCCTTTGGTCAAGTGTAAAAGCTGGCCATCATGTACAGCTCTTCCCAGTCATCCTTTGCTCCTATTCCCAAGTAGAAAATGCTTGGGAAAGAGGGAGGGAATTTATGCTGAGGCCTGCATGCTGAAAAGCACAAAAATATTGTAAGGTCCATTTATCTTAATGACTGAATATCCTTAATTAAATAGGATAGACTCCATCAGACAAACCCAGTCTGTGCCTTGAGAAGGGGATTTGACTCTTCTTTGATGTTGAAAGTTAGAAACTGCAGGTTTTCTCCACCTTTGTACAAGAGGATAAAATGGATCTACTCTGTATTGTATGGAGAAAGTCAAAGTGAATTAAATGGGAGAAAGGAGCTCTTGGGTAAACCTGCAATGGCTGAATTAGTGGACAGTTATTCTTCTTCCCATTATTATCTTCATAAACATAAAACAACAACAATAATAACTACTACTACTAATAATAATAATTTGTTATCCTCTCCTTACCATCTCTCAGAGGTCAATTGATCCTTGATGGCTTCATATGTTTTTAAAGCCCTCATTAACTCAGTCAGGGCTCTAGCTGACTTTGGCATGTAAATACCCTGACTCTCTTCCTGGTGGAACTCCTCTGCTGAAGGCACCTGACACCTCAGGAAGAACTTTTTCCTCTCTCAGGTGGCTTCATTTAGGAATCTGCACCCAGGACCTGAAGGAGGGAACTGGCTCACCAGTTTCAGAACAAGAGTGGGCACCATGTGGTTGGAGAAGAGGCTACAGTCTGCTGGTAGGGTAGTGGTCTTCACTATTCTGTCTTTATTACCCCCAAATCTGTAAGTACACAGACCCCTTTCCCTCCAGAAAATTAGATGAAACAATATTCAGTTATAATCAGAGCTATAATGTGATTTTGTTTTTCCTGCTGTAATCACAGAGAAAAAAAATAATTTCAGAGTCTTTTATCTCTATAAGGAGAGAGAGGTAAAAATATGCAGAGAAAAAGCCTTCAGGCTGAAGGGATGCAGCAAACTGCCATTATAGCTTTTGTTTACTTTGAGCCTAATACTGATATTTTGTAGACAGGTAAGAAGCTACACTGGCACCCTTTGTTGTTTGTTTTGTTGGTTTTGTTTTGGTTTTTTTTGGTTTTTTTTTCAAAGTCTCAAAACTTATATAATTTTTATGTTATACCCTGCAGGAGAAGACAGGTGACATCAGAAATGTGCAGCTGTTTTTTAGCATAGGTGGAAGATGCCTGTAAAATGTAAAAGCATGCATAAATTTGGGTTAAGAGCAGTGGAGTGCTCTGTTCACTCCCTGCCACAGCTTCACTCTCAAAGGAGCTGAATTTGCATAAGTTAATAATGAGGAACTAAAAACTTAAATGATTACTTGGTAGCTTAAGATTATAATAAGCTTCTCCAAATCTGTATGGTTGGGAGACATAGGTTAGACTGCTGCAGCATGAGACAGGAGGTTTATTAATATTATTAAATTAAATAATGCAGACTTGAAGATTTGGGGTGGGGGGTGGATATTGTTGACCAGATGATCTTTAAAAGTCTTTTCCCACCCAAACCATTCTATGTTCTGACCCTGGCAATGAGGTTTGAGCTGTATTGAAAATCTTGCTGGCAAAATGGTAAATGGTCAGGGGAGTTTCCTGCTTTATTTCTTTTTATTTGCAAATGCAGCAGTGTGAAAGTAAATATTATCAAAAGACCAAGAGCAGTTACACTTTTACAGACTCTTTATTAATGATATATTTTAATTATTCTGCTTTGTAGCATCACATGAAAGAAATTATGGTCTTTCAAATATATACATGATTTCTCTTTTATGTGTTGGAGATCATGTATGGGTGAAACTTGGAGCACTTCCCTGTTCTTTGAGCAGCTTTAATATCACCACAAATCCCTGGTTTGGACCCTAGAGTCTGAGGCTTAATTTTAAGCCTGTCTTGGGTGTGCTGCTGGACTGAACCCAAGAAGGGAATGGAGGATGCCCAGTGAGGCATGGTCCTAATTACTGATCTCTGTGGCAGGGATTTTTCAGGTGGGTTTTAAAAATCTTGGAGACTGTTCCCTGTTGTGATAAGGGATAAGGATGGGGAGGTTTGTCCTTAGCTCTGTCCAGAGCCCCTGCGGACTGCACAGGCTGCTTTTCTAGTGACACTGGTCAGCACTGTTGGCCTTTGTCCAAGGAAGGTCTGAAGAAATTTTCTAAAAAACTTATTTAGGTGCATTTATTTAGCCCTGGTGAAAATAGCACAAAATACGTCTCAAGGTAAGACAGTAAGAGTTGGGAAATTTGGTCTTGCGCAATTTATTTGTGAAGGGAATAAAAAGAAATTTCATGAGTGCTTTCCCTACAAAGATCTGAATGGGAATTAGCTCTCAAGTGTCTCCTAGGTTTTAGATAGACAGTAAAAACATTTTTCTCTACATGTCCTCTTGTAAAGGTGCCTTTTATATATGGGCATTAGTTTGTTTGTTTTGTTTGGGGTTTTCTGTTTGGTTTTGGTTTTTTGGTTGTTGGTTTTTGGTTTTCTCTGTGTCAGGTTATTTCATCTGCTTTATATTGTGTGTCTGCTTTGATATTTCATGTCTGTCCTTCATGTGCTGTGTCCCACTGCAAAGACATTATTAGCTGGGCTGGATTACTTTTCTCTTTTCTATTTGTCCTAGTGCTTCAGATACTTGTTTACTGTCTGTGTATGCATATATATTTGCACATTATACCAGCTCTCCCTGCTCCTGCCATGATATCCTTTTCCCTTAGCAAAGGGAAGTGGCTGTCATCCTCCTCCTAGTTTTGGAGTTCAGCTGTGTAGAATCACAATGATCACTTTAGATGGATATCGAGGGTTGGTCTTGAAACAGCAATTTCAGAAGTCTAATTTGAAAACTAATGGAGTGGGGAAAAAAAAATCATCACCTGTTTGCTTCATGGTGGCTCTGTGCCTGGTGCTACAACACAGAGGAATGGGGAGGAGCTTGCTCTGGGGGAAAAGAGATTGAGGGGTCACTTGTCACTCCCCACAACTCCCTGACAGGAGGAGATGGAATGGCCTCGAGTTGCACCAGGGGGGGTTTAGATTGGATATTATGAAAAAATTGTTCACAGAAAGGGTTGTTAAGTATTGGAATTGATGGTCCAGGGTAGTGGTGGAGTCCTCATCCTTGAAGGGATCCAAAGTGTGGCTATGGCACCTGTGGACATGGGTCAGTGGTGGGCTTGGCAATGCTGGGGGAATGGTTGAACTCGATGATTGTGCGGGGCTTTTCCAGCTTGAATGATTCTGTGATTTCTGCATTTGTGCTTTAGTGGGTAAGGTATTCCAGGGCTGGTGCAAATCCTTCTCAGGAGTGAAAACCTTCTGGTGCATTGGGGTTTGAGTTAGCTGGTTTCGGATCTTGGTCTACATTTTACAAAATGAAAAAGAAAATCTCTCTGCTGATCTGTCAGTACATACAGTGACATAAAAAGCACGTCTAAAAGTGTGAAAGCAAGTTAACCACCAACTCCTACTGTGGTGGGAGCTGTACCTGTGGAAATAAGTGTTCAAACAATAATGGTGAAAGGCTTGGAAATATCCCTGAAAACAGCAAAATCAAACATCTGGGTTTACATCAGTGTAGTCTCTGTGCCAGTGCCTGCCTGGGCACCCAAAACAAGTCTGGCTTCAATTGGGCACATGCCAATGCAAAAGATGTTGTTGGAAGCTGAATCCAGGAGATAATTGCTGGGGAGGTGGTAAACCTTTATTGCAATTGTGCTGAATTCTCCAGTATTGGAAGCCTTGTTTCTAAAACCCCAACATTCACCTACGGTATCAGCGTTGCCATCCAGTCTCACCAATCTCAGGATGATCAGCAGACTAAAATACAGCTGTTTACCATGGGAAGTGTGAGTAGGTGTTAAACTTGGTTTGCCCTTCACCTGGGCTGTAACAGAATTTATTGGTGGTTTTGCAGGAGGTCAGGCAGGTTTTGTCTTGAAGTGTTGAAACACTGACACAGGTTGCCCAAAGAAGCTGCCCCACCCCTGGGAATGTCCAAAGTCAGGTTGGACAGGGTTTGGAGCAACCTGGGATAGTGGAAGGTGTCCCTGACCATGGCCCATGTTCCCACCCAAACCATCCTGGGATTTTGTGACCTGAGGGTTTGCTTCTTACCCACTATCACAGGAGGGAGAGCATTGTGCAGCTGTGCTGGAGTCACCTATGGAAAAATAACAGAGGGAGCAGGGGAAAGGAGCTAAGGGTACCTAGGGAGGGAGCTGGTGTTGTGCATTTAGGGCGCTTTATTTGCATGTGCACAGCTACTTACAGCCATATTCAGATAAGGTGTAGGAAACAGTGAGTCCTGCTGGAAATAACTAGATCAAGTCTGACAGCCTGAGAGTAAATCCATGGCATGGACAGAGAAGCAGTATTGCTGTTTCTTGGGTTAGGTCCAGATCCTTGTAACTCTGACAGCTTTTCTATATTTTATGTCAGCTTAATAGAAAGTTTTGTGTTTTTTTACTGTTATCTGAGCAAGTTCAGCTGCAGTTATTCTACTTTTATCCTTTCCCAGACACACGTGCATACACTTGCACTCTTGTTTCTTAGCAGCTTGTAACAACATCTCTAATCCCCTTTGGCAGAAATCTTTTAAACTAATTCTCTTAGGGAAAAAAAAAAAAAAAAAAAAAAAAAAGTGATAAATTTCTGCTGATAGAAGAAAATCAGAAAGAAGAAAGTTTGGCCAGAAGTTGGCTTTCAGTACCTCTTTAGAGTAGTCTGCATGCTGCTCTTTAAGATAAGGAGCATTGGGTGGCTGAGGATGGTATGATGAAAGATAGACAATGCTACCAGGATGACTCAGAGATTTGGTGTGAATTAAAAGAGAAATAAACCCATTCAGCCTCTCTGTGTTTAAGCAGACTCACAGGTACCACTTGAAATCATATTGGAGTTTGGATTGGGCTTGTAGGATTCATAGCATTTCCAGTCTGTAAAAGAAGTGCAGAAGTGGTTTTTTGTTTCCTTCCTAACATCAGTTCCTGGAAATTCTGCCTTGTTTTAAGCTTTCTGGGAATTATTAGTGTTAGAAAAGGTGAAAACTAAGAGAACACAATGTTTGCAGAGGATTGCAAAACTTTATTGGGGTTTTTTTGTTTGCCTGTTTAGGGTTTGTATGTGTGTGTGGTTTTTATTGTTGCTGTTTTCTTATTTTTACATTTTATAAGTTTTATTTTGAAAGGAAATAAAGCCCAAGCACCTCTGCCCCTGTTCTCAGCTCTCCATCTTCTGATGCCTAATGTATAAGCTTTGCAGCTGTGGTTCATCGATGGCTGGTGCATTTTGCTCAACACCCAAATCTTTGGGGTTCTAGTGCATGCTGCTGCTGCTGACTCAATGATTGCTGATGTGGGACATGTGATGGTGTCAGGAGGTGTCCCCAGCTCTGCTGTGCTGACCTGGTGGCCTTGCTCCTGCCCTCTTCCTATTAGTCTTGTGTCCCTCTTGACTAACACAGATCCTTTGGGGTGAGGACTTTACTTCTCAGTGTGGTTTCTGCACTGTTCAGCAGAGCAGGGACCCAGTCCCAGCTGGGAGCACTAATGCCACTGCAGACTAACCATGAAATTACAAATAAAGGCAATTTTCCCTCTATTATCCTGGAAGAGTGGCTTCTCTGGTTGGGGCTATGCTGTTAATGACCATCTTAAAATCTAAAACATTTGCAGCATGGAAAGTATTTAAGGTGTGGACCACAGATATGTCTGGGCATTGCTGCC